TCATCAACACCAAAGTTTAACATGCTGATAATGAGGTGGAGATGTGGCAGATATGGTAAAGTATTCTTATGTAAAAATGCTAAGGTGACACAGTTGGCGATATAGGTAAGTAACGTCAACCTCTACTTAATAGTTTTTAGGGGGTTTCTTTGCTAGCTTTAGTGGAATTGCTTTAATAAAATTGTTTTGACATGGCACACACTACACTATCCTAGTTTTAGCTTCTATAATGCATAGTAAATAATTCTGATTAAGATCTTCATGTCTAATCATTTATTATAGTAAATAATTCATTTTTATATTACTAGATCTGGTTTGCCTCCCTTAATCCTGTGGGACAAAGCTGTACAAAGTTCAATCACAACCCTATAATTTCTTAGACCTAAAACTATTAGTTTGGCATTAAGATTGGATCTAGCCACACCAGGCTCCTCTTTGAGAAGGAGTTTAAAAGGCAAGCACTTCCCTTCTGCACCTCATGACTCAATAGGAACTTTTCTAATAAACTTTGTATGAAGGTCTCACTCTACCTGTGACAGGAGATTAAGATTGCAGCAAAGCATCATAAAAAGTGCTAACAAATCTTACATTAGCCAGCAGTGATAGAACATCACAAGGGTATTATGCATCTTGTTCCAAGATGACCAAAATTAAGCTTTTACTTCTAAATCCAAACTTATCCTGAGAAAAAAAGTCAGTCAGCTTCCCACTTGCCATAATTTTGGCTAGTTTGATTTACACTTAATATGTATAATTAATATTTAATTAGTCTTTGCAGTTCAGTTTGAATACACAGACAAATGGAGCACAATTAAGCTTGCCCATATTCTGCATATATGACATGAGTTCTCCTTGCAAATCTGAATTTCTTTGCACGTGCAAGCTTGTTTCAGTGGGTTGCTTTAAAAACAAAAGTATAAATTCAAGGAAGCAAATGCATACACTATACTGACAGGCAATAAAATATTGTATTTTTAAAACATCGCCTGTTACAGAAGGACAGCATTTTTAATGGACCAATAAAATGTTACAAAGTCCTTGTTCAGTCCAAACATGCCACATCAGTAAGAATTTCACCAAAAACACAGCAACAGATTAATATATTTCCAATACATATTCATACGAAAATATCCTCCTGAGTAACTTTCCCAAAATAGTCAACAATACTTTTAAAAATACTAAGCAATCTGGAAAATCTGAGAACTTTTTTCCATTATTTGGATAACAGGTGGCAAGTTCATAAATAAAATTAACCTGCATTTTAAATGCACCATCTTATGCATTAAAACTCTGTTGTCTTTTCTCAGGTAATATTTATTCTGACCTTAAAAACAGTTTTCACAAAAATATAAGCAGAGAGCATATTCAAAAGTGTTTAGTTAACAAGGAGTGCATTTTCAGTTTTCATGGTCATTTTTGTGATATGCCCTGCCTATTGTCCCCCTGCCATGAGGTAAAGCCACACAAGAAAACAACTGCTCCTACAAGTAACAAGTCAAAAATTAAGTAATTCCAAAGTTTTCCTGTTTTATCAGCTGTATACTAATAGCACACAAGAATTTTTCATACACCAAAATTTGAATGCATGTGGTAGCAAGCAAATACATACAGAAGGTGAAAGACTAACATATCAATGACAAAACGTGCTCAAAAAAAAAAAAAAAGGTAGAGAAGCAAAGATAACATTTGCTTACAGTTTTCACTTGGAAAACCACTCCCAGTATCCACAATTCAGTCCATGAACTTGTGTGTAAGAAAAGAATAATGGTCCTGGCCTGATCTGCTTGCATGACACACAGGGACTAAGTGGATAGCTGTTAATATGAGGATTATCCCATTTTCATTCTGATTAGAAATTTAAAAATTGTGATTTTTAAGTTCTTCACAAGAGAAAGAAGTAATCACTGTACTTACTGAGGAAGAAAACTACCTGGGGCTGCTGTCAGAAAATGCATGAGCATCATGCTCAGGTAGAAGCCTCAACACCACAGTAACATGCCAAGTAGGTGAGTTACCAGAGAAGTAATCAAATCAAAGACTTGCCCAGAAGCAACAGCTCTGTTAAGATTCCATTAGAACTTTGGAAAAAGTTGGTCCATATCTGCAAAACATTTCAGTTTCACCATGGTGACAAATTTCAGCAAAAGTCTATTTCATCAGAAAATTTCCAAGCAATTCAAACAGTTGCCCAATGATTTGGCACAGATTATGTCCCAAGATAATAGTATCTGAGGGTCCTTAGTCCATTCAGAGCCACCATTCTCTCTGCACATCTTTATATACGCAGAAGACATAGGAAAAGTACCAATAATGGGTCAGGAAGGCCTTTTGCATGAAGCATGTGAAAAATATCACCAATTTACCTTTATTCGCCTACATATCTCCCAAATTCTTTTAAAGTGATGCAATAAAAGATGACAACACCAAAATTAGGACTAAGTGATATTTTCACAAGTATGCTACATCATACTAGATTTTTTTTGTTAACTGTACTGAAAATTGAGTACTGTTTAATAGCTCAGATCATGGAACAAAAGATTGTTCCAAGTTACTTAGTAAAGCACCGGTCTTCTTGAATTGGTTCTTTGATTTCTTTCAGAAAGACATTAAATAGGAATTCCCAATGCTCCTGTGTACATGGAGGAAATTAATTCAAAGTAAAAAGCAGGATTTCTCGCTACTGGTCTCATTCTGCCTAGCTGGGTTTTGGTTACAAAAACTATTTTACAGTGAGCAATCAAAGCACCAGTTTCTACACAGGAAAAACTACCAACGCATTATGAAGAAGTTAAGAAATGATAAAAAAAGATTCAATGAAAAAATATCAATGTTAAAAAGTATTCCAACAAACCACCAAAGAAGAAGAAAAAAGTATTTTTCTATTAAAAGTCATTTTTTGTTAAAAATGCTGTTTTAGGGAAAAACCCTTCAATAACCTCTAGAGAATATATAAGACAGCTACAGCCTCACTCACAAGTTAAAAAATACTGGAATTGCAAACAAAAGCAAAAATTACAACACCAAAGTAGTCTGTGAAATTACTTCATTTTCTTAAATGTTGCAAGACTGAGACAGTCTGGAGGTGATGCTGGAAGACACTTTTGAAAAGCTAGCTGTTCTTTCCCAGATGCAATTCCTGCTGTCATAACTGAAGAGCCATTTGTGAAAACATGAACCAGCACTTGTCTCTGCAGTACTGCAGGGCCAAAGAACAGCATCAACAGTTGCAAAGCAGATGTTGGCCTACAGATGCTGTCAAGAGCCACACAGGCTGGTGCTGAGCTATCACAAGTCATTTCACACTGCAGTCAGCGAGTGCTGAAGAGTGGCACGGCAGGCACCAACTGTGTCACAACGGAAAAGGTTTCAAACCAGTTGCTCTTCTCTCAGCCTTCTGTGGCAGGCAGGGATTTCCCAGGTACATTCTGGTTTTAGCAGCTTACCTGTGGAATACATAGAACAGAGAACAGCCAAGACCCACCTCTTGCTGTGGTCTGGGACTTCTGAAAGACGTCTGACTTTTGACAAAGTTCTTTATCCTCTCCCTCTACAGATGGACTCTGGAGTTCTGAGTCTATAAAAAATATTATCCTCTAAGTAAATATCAACACGACAGTTTAACCAAGCAAGTTATTTTCTGATAGAAATTAAAAAGTTCTCTTCCTCACAGAAGACAGAGTTTCTCACAGCAAACATTTCTGTGAGGAAAACCAGTCATAACTCTTTCCAGTTGCCATTGGCTATTAGTATAAATTGCCCTGCTTGCATTTGTTCAGGAAGCTTTTTCCAAGACCTGCGTTTTAAAAAGTTAAACTCTTTGGGACTTCCTTCTGAATTCTGTCATCTCCATTTTCTTGCACTCTTATCTCACTTCCCCAGTCTGGCAACTTCCCTCCTCAGGGCTTAGTAACACTACAGCCTCTACGGTAACTGTCATATGTGTTTACACGACATACAGAGCTCAAGAAGGCTGAAGAGCTAGAATTTTCCTGTGAACCAGGAGCAGAAGATTATGTAGTAGGGGGAAAGGGCAGTGACATCACTAAGTATCCTCTAGGCGTAGAGGAGGTAAACAGAAAGAGGAGGAGCCATTCTAAAGGCAAATGTCAAAACAATGTTTTAAAACATGCTTTCCCCTTCACGGTTTATTTTGTGGCTTTTCTCTTTCAACACAGATTGCATTTAGTAACATAAAAAGAAAAAAGAGACAAAAGAAAAAAAAAAAGAGGGAAATTAATGATTCTGATTCCTACCCAAGAATCAGAACATCTTAAGAAAAAAATCTCTTACTCAAACCTCAAAGACTGTTTAATGAAATTTGCAGTCACTTTAGTGAGAAATAACTCCATGGAACAGTATCACCAGGTCTCTTCATTCTATCATTCTAGATATGGTGAAATGGTGCCTCCAGTTTCAACTCCAGAATATCCCAACTGAAACTACTACTCTTTGCCAAACTTCTAAATATCTACCATTAGAGATTAAAGGTACACGTTTACAGTCTGTCATACGCAGTAAAGTACCATGGAGAATATAATAATCATAACACCAACCACCTCTTCTACCTACAAAAAGAAAAACCACAAGAAGATCCACTATGCTCAACATAACACAATGATATGTTTGTAAGATGTCACTCCTGCTGCTCCCAATTTCACACATTATTTGGCTTCTTTCTCCCCCCCAGTTTTCATCATCTGACCAAAGCAAAGGGTAAAGTGGTCTTGGACAAGAAAATTGCAATAATAGGCTGTGATAAATCATGCATTACCTTGATTCCTGTAACATTTTTTCTGGGAAAAATATGGGAGAAAACAAATCTGGTAAACCTGAGACAGAGAGACATCAAAAATGTGAAACCATCTGGATGAAGGACCTACTCCTATGCCAGCTACACTATCTGAACAGAATCTAGAAACACGTGCTTCAACAAATTAGCTCTTTGCAGAAATAACTGTCAGCATGTAAACAGGATAACAGTTAAGTCAGAGTGAATCAGCAAACTCTTCCAAACAGCCAAGAGCAATAGATGTCAGTGTCTCCTCTGGACTCTCCAGAAATACTTTCTTCAGCCTACCCTGCTATTTCAGCTTCAGTTAAGAAACTGCACTTCAAAAGGTCAGATCTAATGCAAATTTCATTGTACAAATTCCCTCCTCAAGGTGCGGGAGTTTCTAGGGGATTTTGGTGTCATTGCCCTCCTTCCTCCTTGTCTTTGGAAAAGTGCCTAAAGTCTTGTAAAGGAAACCAAGCTGGCTCTTTACAGCGACACATCAGTTACAGGAACCCAGGCCACTAATATGTTTACAACTCTGCCTTAAAAAACACCCTCCCCCCAGAAAACCAAGCAAACAAACAAACAAAAAAATCCCCCCAAAAATACAGCCAAAGGAAAAACCGACAAAAACCCAGAACACTCCCCTCCCTGCTCTCCAACTTAGATCCCATACAGTTTCAACAAGGTTTTGACTAGGTACTTTTATGAAAGTACAGTCAGGGCCTGATCACATAAAATGAGACAACAAAACATAACAAAGACCATCTGAGACATGCAAGCAGCAACCTGAGATATTCAAGCAACTGCCACAGAAATATTTCAAATAAAATTATTTTTGTAGAAGTTTGATTAAATAGTAAAGTCAGGACTACGTAAATGTATTCACAAACCTATCAAATAATGATTCAGAGTTCCATTACTGTACCAATTTATAAATACTTATATCAATAGATTAACATTGCAATTATATAGAAAGATATTATAACATATAAATACTGCAGCTTCTTGTTACTCTTTAGGAGAAGAGCTGAAGTATTTTTGCAAAAGAATATATTCTTTTTTTTAAATCCTATGTTAATGCTTTGCATTGCTGAATAATTGATGACAGCAATGTTGATGCTTTATCTTTACAATTCACGAAAATGTACTTGCTTGATAGTTTATTTAGTGTTTCCTTAAACACCAATGGCCTGCAAGTCCTCCACTTGTTCCCTATCTGAAACACCAGACAGCTTTTGCAAAGATACTGCACTACTTGCTTTGCCAAGATCATGTTATCTGCATAAACGCAGATTGTCAGAAAAAAATGCTGGCCAGAAAACCCAGGGCTCTGAAAGTAAACAAAGGTTTTTCATAAAATATACCAGTAGCAGAGATTCTGCAGGAGTCTAATAGAAGTGACAAGGAGAAAGAAACATTAAGACAAGCATATTTTCACAATGTAGCATTTCAAATAATCTGTGTTCTCTTGAACATTTTAAAAAAAGAACAGACTGGTGCTTCCCCAAACACTGCAGAAAAGTCAAATTATCATCATGTGTATCCAGTATTTACAGAACTCTGTTTTGAGTATGATTAAGCATTCAATTGTGCACTTCAGATTCAAAGAGAAAGAAAATATTCCAAAATAAGATAAACTTAGAACTTCCTATATTCACATTAACTGCTCCCCCAAGCTCTGAAACAAGAATGACACAAACCTTTTTTCATGATTTTTGAAATGATATCCTGAAATACCATAAGAAAATTGCAGAAGACAAGAGCATGAAAATTGTGCCCCAACAGACTAAAAAGATCTAGCAGACTACCTGACAGTCTCAAGAATAGTGGAAAAACAAGGAACTGTTTAAATGAGATATACAATAGCTTTAGAATGCAAACCTATTTAAAAAACATTTTTTTTCTATCAGAAACAAAAGTGTCAAATTACTGAAGAAAAAAACAGTTAAGAAAGACATAGATTCTGTATTTCCTGATTTTAAAACATGAAGAGTAGATGCACTGTTACAAAATAGGTTTTAGATAATCCTATGTTACTGAACTTGATGAAGGGAGGAAGAAAGCCCAAGTGTAACTGACTGGTTTATGATATATAGAAGATTAGACATGAAGATATAGTGTTTTTTTCTGGATTTTAAAATATGCTGTTACAGATTGTGCTATTATCAGTTCCTTTATGACAAGGCATTATAAAATAAAGATTAAGCATTCGTAGCACAACAGTATTTAATAACTGGTAAGTTGTTGAAAAAATGTTACATTGCAAAATTCCCACTAAACAATTATTTAACTCCCACTAAAATTCTTTCTGATGACAGATAACTAAAAAAACCACCTGAAAACCCTCAGATCTCTCAGTACCTAAGTCAAACTCCAACACAAGTTTTGCCTCTGAGCCCTGAGGGCTTTCACCCACCTTTCAATGTCCTCAGCATTGTGGGAACTCACCCAAATGTTCTGCAGATGTATGCACTCAGTAACACGAACCAGGGCACCTCAGCTCTCCCTGCAAGTCCCCACTCCAACTCAGCAATCACACTGTTCTAATCTTGTCTAAAAGCAGTTTTTTCCAACCCACTCATGGATAGGAAATTTGAATATACCTAAGGTGATCTGTTCAAAATCTAATATATTCCATTCTCTAATTTACAGAAGAACAATTCTTTCCTAGACCATCTCAGACTTACAAACCACTTAGTTTTTTACAGAACTTTTCAGCAAATTTGGCATAGTTATTTCCCGCTTCACCTCAGCTGTGATGAAATAAAAATTTCATCTCTCTCTCCAGGTTTTGGAACCAGCTGTTGCACAGAAGTGTGGACTCCAGGAACCACTTCCCAAAGTAAAGCAGAACGACTAATGCAAAGTTGACAAAAGCAAGCTGTGACCATGAGGCAATGAAAAATCCAGCCAGGTCCCCCAAAAATGCCTGTAAACAGTACTGCAGACTCCTTGACACTTTATTTCATTGAATGCAATATTTAGACAAGCTGGAGCTAAGTCTAGAATACAAGTGCAACACAGTTGATTACAGCCAAGTTTCTTCATAATTTGCTAATTATAATAAATTCTTACTCAAATACTGAGTAAGAATTGTCTCCATCTGAACTAGCTGCTCTAAGAGATAAAGTTTAGTACATACATTAACAAGACAAATTGCTTGAAGCCCACTGAAATGAACTCAAAGATTAAAACCATGGTCTCTCCTCTCATGCACGCTCTCATGCATGTAAACAACCAGTGCTCTCCCTTCCTCCTCCTTTACATAGCTTTTCCGTCTGAGCTGACATCGTATGGTATGGAATATCCCTTTGGTGAGTTTGTTCTGGTTATGTCCCCGCCAAGATTTTGCCCAGCCCCAGGCTGCTGGTGGGAGGGTGGAACAGTGGAGAGACAGCGCTGGTGCTGTGAGAGCTACTCAGCAGCAGCCAGAACTCTGGTGTGTCACCAACACATCTGTAGGGACCAATGCAAAGCACAGCAGTGTCAGGGCACCTGTGGGAAAATGAACTCCATCCCAGCCAGACCCGAGACAAAGAGGTGCAGCAGAGGTTATGGCAGTTAAATAACTCTTGTACTTGACAAAGGATTTTAGAAACCTAGAATCTGAAATCAAAATAACATAAGAAGTGGTTCTTGAGCTTCTTTTTACCAGAAGCTTCTGTGGACAGCAAGACAGGGTAATGGAAGGATGCCTTCTCTGATGAAGGATCCTATCTCATCTGATACAGAAACTTCCTAAAACCAAATTATCTCCCTCTCAGACTGTGTCCTGTTAGGCAGCATAAGCACAGCAGCTGAGTACACTGAAGATTTTATGGCATTTTATGTGTTGTACACAATCTCCACCAGAAAAAAAGAAAAAGAATGGGCAACAGGTAAAACAAGCAAATCTTTGAGGGAAAAAATGAGAGTGAATTGAGAAAGGAGACAATATGACCTGTATTAGAAAATGACACATCAGAACTTCCAGAAAAATCTGAGTACCCCTTACTCTAAAACCTGGATGTTGCTTGAATAGTCTACAAGTTTAAAATGCATTACTAGGTCAAAAGCACAGATTAGTATGCCAAGTCTGAGCCCAAACTTCTCTCAGAAGCAGCTGCTTTTCCTCTTTCCCCATCCCCAGTCGCCCTCCCAACTAAGCATTTCTAATGAAGAGAATTTCTCCTCTCCTCTCTCACCTACAATTGGGTATAAAACCAGGTTCAAATTTTAGCTGAAATAACCTCAGTGATTTAGCACTTACTCCACTATTTTAAAACTAATTAAAAATTAATTTAACTTGTTTAAAACTAATTAAAAGTTCATGTTCCAAAGGCAGGCATAGCCTTAATACACACATGGTAAAATCAATGCTTGTGCTTAAGCAGATGAGAAAAACTAGAAGGTTGGAGCCTGCTTCATCTTGATAGGCATAGGAAAACAGTAACTATTGAACATGACCGAACACCTGGGTGCCATTTGATTCCTAGAAAAATCCAAGAAGAGGCATCCTGCGAAAATTAAGTTCTTCCAGACCATTATGTTTTAAACTTAGGAAACACAACTGAACACAAATGAAAACCTGGGAAGAAGTTGCAGGTACTCCTGAGAAGAAAGGACCTTCTCATGGATTATTTGCTGGGAGGCAATGACAGGTACCAGAGGAGGGGGATACTCCATGACCAGAGGAATAAGTAAAAGCGTGAGTCTCAGTTCAGGTGGAAGATGAAAACAGTGCACTGAGTCACATGTTGAAAATTAAGAAAACCAAGAAAAGCATAGATATTTTTCCCACTTAATCTTCTACACCTCTACATCATTGCCTTGTACAAAAGAGTACTTAGGACTCTTCTATTCCCCTTCTACCTCTGGCAAATATGGTCTCTCCTCATCAGGTCCCAGACTCATCCAACTAAACCAATGCTATGTCACTCACCACCAAGGACACTCTTTTTCCAGTTTTTGTTGGTTCTATTGAGTATGCCCTGCATTGCCAGTCTAACAAATCAGATACTGCAGAGCATACGGTAAAGAACACTTCCCATACTAAGGTTAAGAAATTCATTGACTTCTCATTCACATGGTGAATAACAGCTACACATGAGGAGAAATAAGAAGCATGTATAGTTGAAGTTTAAAATATACCACAGGTGGTTCAGTGCATTCCGTTCCCCTCCTTGCCCTCATTCTCCCCCTCCCCATCTACAGGGAAGGAGGACTGATTATTTTAAGCCTTAGCAAATGTTTCTTCAGTCACTCTCCAAGCAGCATTTACTTATTCTCTCAATGGGCTGGAAAAAGTTGATGGAGGAGGAGATCACATTGCTGAGTGTCAGGGGTGGTGATTAGGAACTTTAAGCTGAAGATTTTAGTCATTATTCCCTCTTTAAACATGGGAAGGAAATGTCAAGAGGTAGCCCATGCCTTTGAGCGCTACAACTGCAGCCTTCAAGCATTAAAACCCATTGCCAGCCTCCTATTGCTGAACATCTTCAGGCTGTTCTTTTTAAAATTAAGTTAGAACAAATGAAACCTACAAAAATCCTATTTTAAACTGACATGAAATTAAAGGAAGCAGGAGTAAATACCTTAATGGGGAAAAAACCCCCAAAAAAATCAAAGACTGCAGGAGCTAATCTGGTGAAGAAAATAAAAATGCGGAGGTTTAAGGAGTCTTTCAATAGAGCCCTTGAGCTAGACCAAGTTAAAACAAATGTTCAAATCACTGTTTTAATCTTCTCATTGTGGGGTGAGAAAAAACACCAGTAGAAGTGACTGCTTTTTTCTTAATGAACTTCAGCCACCACAGCACAAGAGGCCACGGACCAGCTGGAGCAGAGCACTGACTGTCCCCTGTACTTGGCACCGGTGAAGCCACACCTTCAGTCCTGAGGTCAGTACTGGCCCCATCCTGACAAGGACATTGAGGTGCTGGAGCATGCACAATGAAGGGCAAAGGAACTGGGGAAGGGTCTGGAGCATAAATTCTTGTGGGGAGCAGCTGAGGGAGGAGAGATTCTTCAGCCTAGTGAAAAGGAGGCTCAGGGGTGACCTTATCAGCCTCTGTAGCTGCTATGAGAAAGGAGGTTGTTGCAAGGCAGTGTCCCTTCTCCCAAGTAACAAGTGACAGGACAAGGAAATGACTCAAGTTGTGCAAAGAGAAGTTCAGGCTGGATATAATGAAAAAAAATCTTCACTGAAAGAGTGGTTAAGCACTGGAATAGGCTGCTCAGGAAATGCTGGATTCACCATGCCTGTAAGAGTTCAAAAGAGTAGAAACAGCACTTCATGCTATGGTTTTAGTGGGCATGGTGGTGTTCAGTCAAATGCTGGACTTACCTTGGTACCTTGGTGGCATTTTCCAACCTTTATGATTATACGTCTCTATAGCATGCTTTGCATGCTCCTAATGACAGAATAGGTCAGTCTCAACTATTGTTTGGTCTCAACTACTGGCAAATGTTACCTGTTGCAGAGCCAACTAGCCTTACTGAAAGAAACCAGAACAGTAAATACTTGTAACAACACAATCCTCCAGAAGAACAACGCAGCTCTAATCCTGTGGTTCCAGCTGTGTACCCTCTGATCTGCCACTCTCAAAAAGAAAGGAGAGAGAACAAAGTAGTTATGTTATTTCCTTACCACCAGGAACATAAATGAACGAAATATAAAACTCTAAACATCTGGCTTTCTTGCAAGTACATACAAAATCAAATTGAAGGAATAGTTCTGCATAGTCCACAAACTCACAGGTATGGATTTCATACCTGTTCAGATTTTTCTTGGGCAGTCTGTGCAAACACCTTGCTCAGATAAACCAGTTTTGCTTCCTCCTGGAAGGAAAGTACATAGTTGTTCTACAGAGCTTTTAAAACATCCAGACTAACAGGGAGGTGAAGAGGCTTCGGCAACTTGTGCCAGCTTTTATAACATTGGTTTATAAAATACATCCATGCCAGCCAACTTCTTCTCCAGTGAAAAAAAAAAAAAAAAAAATCACTACTACGAGTTTCAATGCCCAATGCCCTAATGAAGCGCTGCTGGTCTTAAAGAACAGCTCCCAACAGCTTCTGAAGCAGTTTGTCGTTTCCTTGTGTCTTGTCACAGCTTTCACCCCACATACCTTGCTTTTGTAAAATGAGTCTGAAGGCTGTGCAGCCATAGAGAAGTTGAAAAGGTCAAAGCACAGACTGCAGAGAAACAAACCTAGATGTTCAGAAGCACTGAAAGGAAGAGCAACACAATTAGCTGATTCTCACCTGTCAATGCTAAGTTAATACTGGTCTTTCTACAGCGTGATTTCTCGGTCATCCTGTTCATTTAAGTTTGAAAAGGGCTGTACTACATCGAACACACAACAAACTCCCACAATGCGCATGTGGAATGTTAGTGCATGTTTTATCTATTCAGCCATCAAAATTAATTAAACGCATTTGCAGTACATCTCCTTCCCTCAGCTCTTTTACATACAATTAGCACAACATATTTGATGAATTTATGGGAAATTAGAGACAGGTCTGCCTTTAAAATAGTTCTCTTTCTTTCAGTTTTTCAAAATAATTCAAATTAAAGATGACTGCTTTTCTATTTCAAGTACTTGCAGAAGTTGCAAGTACTTGAAGTAGAAGTTTTCCTTGTTAATAGTATGCAGTTGTACAATTGGTGAAGTACTTGCTTTGTGATCAGTATCACAGCAAGAAACAGTCTATCACAAATGGTTTTGTGATTATTAGATTTCCCTAGACTACCAATATGATGAGTTTGAAAAATTTAATTTCCCTTTAATACCAGTATGTGACATAAATTTCTTATTGACTACTGCCCAGATTCAACTGTCTACGGAACAAGAAAAGAAACTTCAGTTTTGAAATATCTCTAGAGAATTTAGCAACAGCAATTAAGGTTCTTTTACTTATTTATGAAAAAAGCCAAAAAAAAGCCACTTTGGAGTGGCTTTGACTTAATGCATGCAAAGCTAATTAGATGTACTTAGTCATCTTCTTCTTTTCTAAACATTTGTTGTGGTTAAGGAATGGCACTCCTCAGTTCAGTGCCCCCACCAGTACTCTCCCAAGCCAGCACCACTTGCTTGATCTTCCCTTCCCACTCTGGCAGAATGGAGTTGAGAACTGGAGACACAAAAGGTGACAATCACAGGTTGAGATAAGAACAAGTTACTGGAAACAGCAATGAGATGACAAAATTAACAGTAACAGCAACAGAAATTCTACCTGGATACAAGGATGAATTTCTTTACTGTGCAGGTGACTGTACACTGGAACACATTGTCCAGAAAGGCTGTGGGGTCTTCCTTAGTGGAGATATCCAGGAGCTGTCTGGACACAATCCTACGCCATGTGCTCCGCAATGGCCCTGCTTCAGCAGAGAGGCTGGGCCAGACAACCCACTGCAGACCTAACTTTAAACACTCTTTGAGCCTGTGCCTTTTCTCAGCTACTGTCATTGTCTGACTAATTTTTAGACTAATTTTCAACTGCCCAGGAAACAATTCTGATACTTGTATTTTTTCTCTACCTTAACTACAACAGGCAACTTGATTTTGAGAGTTAAATCTGTCTCAGTACATGTTTTCCAGGCCATTTGTTGGTTCACTTGTTTCAGAACAGGCATTCAGGATGAGTCCAAAGGCACATCTAGTTCTAGTGGCCAGTAAAAAGCAAAGTGCCCAGAAAAGAGCTAGGAGCAGAACAAGCCCACAACAGTACTTTCCCAGAGTAGTTTCATAGTGATACAAGATTCACAAATATTTTAAACCAAGACAATTTTTAAAAAACAGCTTTATGATATTTACCTGAAAACAACCATCTTCTTCTCTACAACTACCTGAAAGAAGGTCATAGTGAGCTGGGGTTTAGTACCTTCTTCCAGGTAATAAGCGACAGAACAATAAGAAATGGCTTTCAGCTGCATATAGGGAGATTTAGATTGGATATTGGGAAAAATTTCTTCACTGAAAGGGTAGTCAGGCATTGTAACAGGCTGCCCACGGAGGTGGTGGAATTACCATCCCTGAAAGTGTTCAAAAGGCATATGGGTGTGGCACACAGGGATATAATTTTGTGGTGAACATAGTGTCCCAGGTTAATGGTTGGGCTCAATCTCAGAGATCTTTTCCAGTCTTAGCAATTCTATGGCTCTATGAAAAATTATAAAAATGCTTGTTCCTTCACACATGAAAATCATCAGACCAGAAGATATTAAGGTCCTAGAATTAAGTTTAAAAGTCTGACTTTTTTCTCCCCAAGTGATTAACCTTAAATTAACCTTAAGAACATCCAATCTTCATTTCCATGTAATTTCTTCTGTTTCCTTTCTCCATCTTTTCTTGTCACTTTCTACAGTTTACTTATTTCTCCCATGCTACTGACTAACACTCTTCTTCCGTGACCCAAAAGGGGAAGGGAATTAGAGTAACTTACTGACTTAAAAGACAGATAATCATGATCAATCACTCAGAAAGTCAACTTGCAAGGTAAAAAGCAAACTCAGAGCAGCGCATCTGATAGGTATTTTCAGACAAGAAAAATACATACATGAGCAGTCATTGCATGACCTAGGACAGACAAGTCATAATAACAATTCCACACTAAAATAACTGGGTAAACAGGGCAAGAAAGGAAAAGAAAGAATGCAGGCCATTTTGCTGCCAGGTAAGACACAGATTACAGCAGCAAAATTAGGCAGGACTGCAGATCTGTTTGGCAAGGACAATGACTCACACTGGAATACATCATGGGGTGAGGCAGAACTACCTAAGTTAATTATCTAGAGAGGAGGAAGGCAACTGACCTTCTCCAATGAAGCCTCCTGACCCTTAAGTAGGAAAAGACAGACATACACTAAAGGAAAAATCCTGTCAGTGCTTTTATTGAGGCATAACTGATTATACAGGCTGACCACCAGAGAGAGCTGCATGAACTGGAAAGCCTGCCTCCCAAATGGGGCACCAGACAACACAGACCTTCTGGAACAGCAGTAGGGGCAGCATTTAATTAACAATGTAAGATATAAGGTATGCAGATTGGTACACACACAAACTGACAGACCACAAGAGAACTGAACCCACACAAACACATTAGTTCAATTTTCATACAGAAGTGGTAGGCCTCCTGGCAACACATGAGAAGAATGCAGTTATGGAAAGTTCTTATATGAAAGTGGCACTTCAAAAAACATCAACACAATTTGGACTACTGAAATCAACACAATTTACACTACTACTTGAGCTGCTGGCAAAACTGTGGAGGCAGAGGAGGTAAGTGTTAACATTACTGCAAATTCAACTAAATCTTTTGAAAACACGATGGATCAACATGTAATTTATGAAGTCCAAAGAAACCTCACTTCAATTCCCAGCTTTCCAATTAACTCTTCTACATGCTATTTTTCAGTACATAAACAGATATATTTAACCATTTAAATCCCATCAAAAACCAGAGAAACTCTGAAAGATGTATATTCTATAAACATGCCAAAGCAATAAAAGTTCAGTGAACCAAGGGCATTTGCTGGAAAATTCACCTGTAAGGGGGTTATGTTCAGAACTTAACAAGCAGCTTAACTAACTATGAATGCCTACAAAGCAAGCCACACTGCTATTCTAACATCACCAAAATCTAAGATTATGAATTATTATGCATAATTATGTATTTATTATATAATTAGTGCAGTCTAGTTTTTCACTACAATGGTTTCACATTAGCTTAAATCTGTGAAAATCTGGAAAGCTAAAGTCTTATTCTCCCTTTCACCTGGCATTCCTAATTGGTCCCTACTTCCTTAGCAGTTGTCTTTGTACTGGGACAACATTCAATAAACCAGTTTCAGTTAGTACTAATCAAAAGTTTTCAGCATTTACTGAAGTTTTCTGCATTTTTTTCACTCCAGAAACACAGGACTGCTAGCACAGATGCAGACACATGTATGGGAACATGCTGCACTCCAACTGCCAAACGCTGACTTGAAAATGTATCCTACTTGAAAATGCACCACAGGAAAACGAAGTTTCTCTGAATCTGCAGAAAAACCAGCAGACTTAAGAAAAAGATGGTTTGTAGCCAAAAACTTCTATTTTCTTAGGAAGATACTCAAGGAAAATCTGAAAATAAAAGGTTTCATACAGAAAAAAAAGACATGAGCATACTTTCTACTTAGTAAGGCATTTAATTTAACCACAAATATCCATACAATTTCAGCAGACATTTGCAGGGATTTAGACTTAGTATCCCGTTGCATTCCACCTTCAGAAACAAGAATAAACCCACACTTTAGAAAGCTTGTTAGACACACTAATTAGAACCTCAAAGTAATAATAAAAAGGGAATCAAAACCAAGCAATACTATTTACCCTAGTGTTATAATTATTCATACACAGGTGCAATTTAAGCAAATATTTTCTTTGGTGTGAAACAATACACCGTTCTCATACAGCAATAAAACTGAAAGTCACAATTATTACATGAGAAAGTGAAAAATAATAACACTACTACTACTACTACTACTAGATTAATATAGTTGGAAGGCACTTATGGTGGTGATTTGGCTTGTTATCCCTGCTCAAAGTAGGGTCAAATTACACCAGGCTCAAAGCCTATATAACAAAATTTATACCATGTGCAGAGGTGGATATTTCACAAGTTCTCTGAACAATTTTTTCCAGTGTTCAGACTGTCCTCCTGCTGAAAAAGATTTCCTTAATAACTAGCAAAAATTTCCCATGCTCCTTGTGTTTGTTTTCTCTCATCCAACACCCTGTGCCTTCAAGAAAAAGTCCAACTCCGTATTTTTTATAGCCTCCCATCAGGTAGCTGAAGACAACAAACCGATGTCTCCTTAGACTTCTCCAAATGAAAATACACAATTCCCTCAGCACGCAGTACAGCATGTACTCCAGCTGTATTTATCTTTGGCAGTACTTCGCTGATCTTTATCCAGCATGCCAGCGTTGGAATGATCTAGTATTAAGAAGCTTTGAACTGGAATCACAATCAGACAAAATTAGATAGAAGCCTTTCAAGTAGAACTTTCTTTTAAAAGAAAGACATGCATTTTAATGATATCAGTGTTAAGTTAGATACTCAAGAAAAATGCAGGCTACACTTGGGAAATAATTGAGGATGCCCTGAGTAGTAATCACAGTGACTCCTGCTATAGTGAGATCTGAATTTAATATAAATTTCAATGTATTTGAGCAGAAAACACATCTCATAAGCACTACCTAAATATATGGAGCAGATTATGTGTTCTTTATACATACACACATACAATAAACATCAAGTACATTCAAATTTATGTATATACTTCAAATATGTAAAGGACTTAATCATCGTGGGTAGACACCTTACATACAACCTGGCTGAAATCCAAAACAGAAGTACAGTTTTATAGTTTCTGCATTTATTTAGGTTTATTCTAGTTTAAAGACTATCTAGACAACAAATTACAAATGTAAAAATACTTAACAACTGCAAAAATTCAGGACTACATCAAATAATAAATCTATCATTCATAAGCATTTTTTGTCTTTAAAGTTGTACATATTTGATACAACCACTAAATCTGCTGGAAGAGCTTCTAACTTGTAAAAGTCAGCAAAACAATTGCAAGATCTGCATATGAAAGAAGGA